AGAAGTTTGACTTTGTGCAATCCGCTCACTTCGCCCAGCATCACTGACTTCTGATCTCCGAGCACGTCCGTCAAGTTTCATTTTCATTCAAGTTTCATTCACATTCAGATTCAGGTCCATAATCGGGATTCAGCAGACGCCTCAAATTGCCCTGAACTTTGCACACAGATGCAGTTTAACCTGAACACAATGAGCACAAAATCTCGGACCGGTACACCCTGTTACCGGATATATATATATATATATATATATATATATATACATATATATATATATATATATATATATATATATATATAAATATCAAAGATCACAATATAAAGGCGGACTCCTTCAATTATTTATAAACTCCGCGTGCCAGTAGATATTTACCTGATAACGATAAACATAAAATTTTGGACCGGTACACTGTATCAAAACAGTTATGGCTGTTATAATGTCAAGGTCGTGAATACATAGTCCGCTGAATATGGAATAAGAAAATGAGTCAAGGATGAAGAAAATGTGATCCATGCCTCATATACGCCATACCTAAGCAGCTTCGGCTTTTGAAAAACTAACTTTTTTGATACAGTGTACCGGTCCAAAATTTTGTGTCAATCGTAATCAGGGGGCCAATATGTACCAACACACGGATTTCGGAAGGGATTGAAGGAGTCCGCATTTTTCATTGTGATCTTTCATATCGTGATATCTCCGGTAATAGGGCTACCGGTCTGCCTAAATACCGGTCCGAGATTTTGTGCTCACTGTGCTCAGGAGATCCAACTGCATCTGTGTGCAAAGTTTCAGGCAAATTTGAGGAGTGCGCTGGATTTCGAATATGAAACTGAGTTAAGCATGATAAAATGCAATACGCGTTGCATTCGCGACCTTGACATTATAACAGCTATTACTTTTTTGATACAGCGTACCGGTCCAAGACTTGGTATTTATCGTTATCAGGAGGTCAATGTCTACCAGCACGCGGAGTTTAGAAAGAATTGAAGGAGTCCTCCTTTTTATCATGATCTTTGATATTGATATATCTCCGGTAATAGGGCGTACCGGTTCGAAATGTTGTGCTCATTGTGTTCAGGAGGTCAAATTGCATCTGTGTGATAAGTTTCACGGCAATTTGAGGAGTCCGCTGAATCCTGAATATGGACCTGAATCTGAATGTGAATGTGGTGCCAACTTGACGAACGTTCTCCGAGCTGACTTCAAGTAGCAGCCCAACAGGAAAGGTGGAAGCTTTGCGGCAGATTTTCTCCACTCGTGGCGTTTTTCATGTACAGGAGTACATACGGAGGCCGGGCATGGCGTCTGCGCGCTCATGCCGCACTGGAGAAGCGGCTGAGGGCCCTGTCGAAAGTAAAAGAAAGATCGTCTAGGAGCGAGATGTTTGGGCGGGAGCGCAGCAGGCCACACGGCGAGACTGTCTCACGTACAAGTGCTAAAAGCATGTCCGGAGCTGGGAGAAGCCCTGGGAGCGGAGCATCAAGCGGAGCAGCGTCCCACGCCGCGCACGTTCGCGCCTCAGCGGGGCCAGATATTTTACATTTCTTGAGATTCAACATTCACATTTACATTTACATTTCAGAGATTTCACATTCTTGGTCAGTAGGCGACCAAGAAAGGCCCATGCAGTCAGAGAAGTAGACCAGAGCAGAACGAGATAAGACAAACAACTAGCCATACGGACAGGTTCTGATCCCAAACCCGAGCCCGAGCCCAAACCCAAACCCGAGCCCGAGCCCGAGCCCGAGCCCGAGCCCGAGCCCGAGCCCGAGCCCGAGCCCGAGCCCGAACCCGAACCCGAACCCGAACCCAAGTCAATCAGCACGGAGCGAACAGCCGTGATAGAAAACAAAATCCAGGGTCAGGCATCACCTCAGAGCATGCCAAAAGCTCGCCCCCCTAGGTACTGCGCCGGGCACGCCTCTTTATATGCTTCGGGGGGGGGGGACTGAGCCCCCAATGCCTGCGTGAGCCCTCCATGGCTCCTCCGAGGGCCTTAAATGCACATAACCAAAGAGGGAATTCTGGGCAAAATAAATACGTAACAGTTGTCTCAACTGCTGATATACTGGCAGTATGTACCTAAGCACATTACAAACAGTACCTTGTAAGTACCTAATATTTTGTCATGCTAACGCAGCCAACTAATTCATGTGTTAAGCTGGCCTCAAAAGGAATAAGTCCCCGCCATATACGACAGCTTTTAAAAGTACAGGATGGCCAATTCAAAATGGTGCCACAATAGAGGTCAGTATATCCGTCGCATAGTCGTGGCTTCGGTTAGTGGTGGTCATACAACACGAACAGAGACGGAGGGAGTCATTGATCGCGTACTAAGATTTACAAATGTGTCTTGTCTGTGAATGGCACCCTATCTAAGCTTTTTGCCAAAGGCAGCTCGCAACACGAACTTGAAATCGGAAGTCATTTCTCCGCAGGACAACACGTTTGAACTTACGACTTAAAAAAAGAAATTAATCGAGAACGCAAATTCAAGGGGCAAAATCCGGGCAGAACTCAGGATTGTCAGATGGGCCTAGTCATTTTTTTTCGGCCCAGCCCCCGCCCCCCTCAACCAATTTTAGATAGTAACACCACCGCCCGGGCCTTCAACGAACCAAGAAATCGCGCATGCAAAAGGGACCTGCAAATGAGCACGAATAGGAACAAGCAAAGCCCGTGACCGGAGCTTGCAAGGAGGGGGCTTGTGGAACAAATTCCGCGGGAGCAGCAGATTCGAGGACTGACTCTGACTTGGGCGAGAAGCGGCAATCTGACTCGGGGGCTCTCCGTGGACAAAGGCGCTCTGCACGCGACGGCCGTACTCACAAGCATGCAAGTGGAATAGGTGGCACTAACAAATGAAAGATCGCAGTCTGTTCTCCGCTTCCTTCCCTCTTGGACCATATATATTCACCCTTCTCATCGTCCCATGCAGCCTTAATTATCCATGACTAATAAGCCGGAAGGAAACTAGGCGAGGAAGTGCCGCCGTGTAAGCGCCAGTTTTAAGGGGCCGAATCAGATAGGATGGGGTTGCCACGAGCCGGGTGAGGATACGCCTGCGCGCCCGGGGTTGCGGGTCGGGCGACCGTTCCATGTTTCGAGCTTCTCTGTGGTGTACGACAGCTACGCGAAGTGGCTGGAGGTGCTGCCGATGCGCGAGACGAGCACGGAGAGCTCGATCCGCGAGCAGCGGGCGATGCTCCCTCGCTGCAGTTCCCCAGGCAGCTGGTATGGGGCAGCGGTCCCCAGTTCGCATGAGCGCAGTTCGTCGAGTCCATGGACCATAATGGCATACGACGGGTCAGAATAGCGCCGTACCACCCAAGCAGCAACGGAGCCGGGGAACGGACCGTACAGGCGGCCGAAAACGGACTGAGGGCGGCGATGCGGGACAGCGGCTCACTGTCACGCAGATTGCAGACGTTTCTGGCGACATGCCGCGTGGCGCCGCACGCGTCAACGGGATGGCGACCAGCGAAGATGGTGCTGGGGTGGAATGTCCGGACCCGACTGGGTCTGCTTCAGCCTGATCCAGACAAGAACCTCAGGAAGCAGCAGCTACGGCAGTGGCCAGCCACAGGAGGTCAGTCCAAAGCGTTCGAGACTGGCGGCGGTGTGGGCCCGCAATGACGGCGGCCCGCAGAAGTGGAGGCGCGTGACAGTGGCCGCTTGGACTAGACACGTGTGCTGCGAGGTGGACATCGGGAGCGCCCTGTGGTCGCAGCACGCTGATGAGCTGCCGCCGGCCGGCCCTGGTCCGACCGGCGGACCGGCGCCGTCCAGGGGGCCAGTGCGGCTGTCGGAGCCGCAGGTGAACTCAGCTGGAGCGCCGGTGGAGCTGGCTGAAGCACAGACGGAGCTGGCCGAGGCGCCGACTGACCCACAGTGGTCGGAGTCGGTGATGTCCGCGTCGGAGCTGGCGCTGGCGGCGCTGGGCTGGCGGTGGCGTCGGCGGATCTGGCGGTGGCGAAGCGGACGTTGGCGTCGGCGGGCGCCGCGACGGTACCGGGACCGGCGGGGTAGTCTCTGGGGTCGGTGGGGTAATCGCGGCGGATCCGGGGCGCAGGTCCGGTCGGCGGACTGTACCCCCTGGAAGGCCTGTAGAGGAGATGTATCGTTAGGGAGGTAGGGTGTGATACCCTGACGTGCTGCCTGGCGGCTGGCAGCACGGTTGTAGTTCGGCCGCTGCTGCGGGTGGCAACTGTGTCACCAGCAAGGCCGCGCCGTGCGGGTGCATCGCAGGCTCTGTCACGGAGGGGGTGTTTGCTCTCCTGTTTTTCCCCTCCGATACAGAGAAAACCTTTCCGGCGGCTGCTGTCCTGCGGCGATGCAAAACTGACAGAGATTCGGAAAAAGCCTTCCTGAAGCTCGTCCATAATTCATGCTAAGTGCTGCAAAATGGAAACGGATGGATAGCGGGCTGATTAAGCGCAGTCAAGTATGAATACGCCTGAGGGCATCAGCCGAGTAATGAGTGGACTGAATACATGACCTCCTACCCATGGATATGTGGTATGTGGATATATTGATATATAATGAACACGATTTTTAGGAATGTCAAGCTTCTCAGATATCCAGCGTTTTCTACCCTTGCAGATCACAACCTACTCAGAGACGGCCACTTTAGTGACTCATGCGGTCCAAGCACGCGATGCCTTCGAGCCAGGCAGCCTCTGGTTGCGCCAGAGGCACTTAGAGGAAAGACGAAGCAAGGCAGGGTTTCGCTACTGTCGTCACAGTATCTTTGTGTGCCCAGGGGACCAGCCTGCGTCCAGCAACGACCGGTGCAGCAGTATCTTCAGCATCTCCGAAGCAAGCGCGGCGGACCTGGGAGTCGACGGCTGAGTCGCCGTCCAGCTGCAGCGACTGTGCGCTGACTCCGAGTCGGTTCGCCACCTGTCTGATGCGGCTGCACGCACGGCGGCAGCGGCCGGCTCGCGTCGGGTTCATCGGTGACGCCCGCATTAATCCAATCCGTGAAATACTCTCGCTGACACGGTTCCATGTTTATTACCAAAGTGCGAAGCGCCGAGACGAGAGGCACCGATACCAGGCGACCAGAACACAACGCGAACGCTCTCAGCGTCGTGGGTAATGCACGATACATGTGAACCAGAATTGCACATGAGATTATCAACGTTGCAGAGACAAATGCAAAAAGGTACGCACCCGGGCCCCCTCCGACACAGACTGCGGCTGTGCCCACGATGTAGCCGGGGTACAGTGGTGATTGACGCTGACGATTTAGATCTTGTTAATTATTTTGTTTTTGACTGAGTCGTGCGAACGACTGGATGATTGATAAGGTGCGAATGTGGTTCCGTTGGTGTCATGTTACTATGTTAAATCTATGCTTCTGTTGTCATTGTACCAAATCAAACCACAAACCACTTGTTGGAATAATTCGTGAATACAACACCACTTATTGGAATGATTCGTGAATACAACTAACTCAACTGATAGCGTTGATACATGTCGATGTATTTTGCATTGATCAATGCATACAGCCTGGCGAATGTTTATGGTGGCTAAACATGTTTGCAACACAACACAGTGAGCCACTTCTCCACGGGTTCAGCTACCGACCGGCCAGATGGCCGAGGGCACGTGGGCGTTGCAGTGCTCGCTCGGAGCGGAATCAGCACGACGTGCATCAAAATAGCTGCAGCCCCCTATCCCGAAAGCAAACCCGGGCCGCTTTGCAAGCTTGCTGAGATTAATCGTAAACGACATATCTTGCTCAGCTCCGTTCATCGGCCCAAGAGACGCACGGTGGCTGATCTAAGCGCGCACTCCACTTGTCACAAGTAGTTTCTGCCAGCCACTTCCCAGCGGTTCAAAACGGGCTGGCGGAACCCGGCTCAGTCAGCCACCACCAATGGTGACCACAATCGCAAGTCATAATGCACGGTTGATGCATATTCCTGACGCACAGTTAACGGTGCGCCTCCTACAGCGCCGTCACCACCATCGAGCGCGCAACTGGGCCGTCTTCGGGATATGAGCGGCCTCAACGCTGTGGTCTGGTACCTGGAGTCCATGTCGGAAATACTACTACGCTGTGGGACGGAGTGGAAACCGGTGTTGGTCGAGCGGAACCCTGGACAGGTTTATTTCCGGCTGGCAGCCAACATCCAAGACAAAAGGCGAAGAGCACGGTTCACAAAATGCCTTGCGGTACAATCCAATGTCACCGCCTGGGGCGGGGTCAAATACAACGTCCATGTACACGTCTGAGGTTGAAAGACTTGCCGCACGTTCCACAATTAACCTGGTTCGTGCCCAGGTATGCATTACGACAATTTACACAGCACAAGCTTTGAAAGTAGTGGTCGCAAACGTTAACATACACACTACTCTCAACAAAACGCTGTCCGCACACACCGCAGCTGAAAGGTTTCTCACAGGTGCGGGCTCGAACGCGATAGGTACGAGTGCTGCGGTAGCGATACAACAATCCACAGACTTTACAAATACACAGCTTTTCTATTGTCCTGGATCTGCAATTGCATAGTAGGGTTGCTTCTGTGCCCGAACGACTTCCCAGAGCTCACACCTCAACGGATCCTCACTTGTGCGCATCCGGGGGTGATAAATGAGGTGGGACTTCACACGGAACAACTTCCGGGACTTCACAACTGAACGGCTTTTCACCTCTCGGAGCCTGAAGGTGCTGAGCATAATGGCTCGTCTGAATGAATGACTCCCCACAGGTGTCAGCATGGCTGCTCCTGTCGCTGAACAACCGGCGACGAGACTCAGAACTCAGCGGTTTTTTTACCTTTGTGGGACCGGAGGTGCTTCGTAAAGATGTAGTCACCTGAACGAGCCCCCACAGAGCTCGCGAATAAACGGTTTCTCACCGCTGAGCCAAAAGGTGATCGGCAAGGTAGCCACGTCAGCTGGACGACTTTCCACAGAGCGCGCAACCAAACAGTTTCCCATCGGTGTGGGTCAGAAGATGCAGTTTGAGCGCCACTGCGACCCAATGACCTTTCACAGACCCTACGACCGGGCGACTTCTCACATGTGGGAATCCGGAAGTGATACGTAAGGCGAGACTTCACAAGGAACGACTTCCCGCAGACGTTACACCTGGTCAGCATTTTGCCTCTGCGAGTTCGAAGGCGCTTCGCAAAGGTGTGAAGTTACCTGAGCAAGTCCACACAGAACTCCGAGCTGAACGATTTCTCAACGGTGTGGGTCCGAAGGTGATCCCTACAGCGGCTACGCCGCCTGAACGACTTCCCACAGAGCTCACAACTGAATGGTTTCTCATCGGTGTGGGTCCGAAGGTGTTTCGTAAGGTTGACACGTTGCGCGAACGACTTCCCACAGAGCTCACAACTGAACGGCTTCTCACCGGTGTGGGCCCGAAGGTGATTCGTGAGGTGGCTACGTTGCGCGAACAACTGGCCACAGACCTCGCAACTGAACGGCCTCCCCCCTGTGTGGGTCTGACGGTGGAACGTTAGGATCTTCCTGAGACCGAACGACTTCCCACAGACTTCACAAACGAACGGCCTCTCACCTGTGTGAGTCCGGAGGTGATTATTAAGGTCGAACCTTTGATAGAACGACTTCCCACAGACTTCACAACTGAACGGTTTCTCACCGGTGTGGGTCCGAAGATGCAACTTAAAGTTGCTCTTGTGACCGAATGATTTTCCACAGAATTCACAGGTGAACGGCTTTTCACCTGTGTGACTCAGGAGATGACGCATAAGGCTGCTTTGGAACTTGAATGATTTTCCACATACCTCGCAAGTTTTCATCTTGTTCTCCGTGTGGCCTTTAAGGTGGTACGTGAGCTGGTCCCCTTCGCTGAACGACTCTCTACAGACCTCGCACGTGAACGATTTCTCGGCGGCGTGGGTTTGAACATGCGAGGCTAAGATGTCCCGCTGGGCGAACGATTTGCCGCACACGTCATATCTGCACAGCTTCGCATCATGGTGAGGTAGAACGGAGCGTGTTAAGCACTTCATTTCGCTGGGCGCCCCTCCGCAGCATTGGCGCATACAGCCCTCGCTGTCACACTGGCTCTGACTGTGGAAGGCCCAGCCAGACGACTCCTCTTGATGCTGACATCTCAGGTGCTCCATGAGACTGTCTTGATTTGAAGGATGGAAGCCGCAGTATCCACAGCAAAGCAATGAAGAACCTGAAAAGAGCAGCTTTAGTTAGATCAACATTCAAGACTTGCACGAGCCTGACCACAGAACTTAATGAGCAAGTACTCTTTTCACTTTGGAAACAGTGAACTGTTGGTTAACAGGTTAACCAACAGTTAACCAGCGGGGCAGGTTAACTTTAGGAGTGCTCCAAACATTATTTGAAAATAAGTATCAGTTTTCCGACCAGGTCGCAGTTCATTTCTTCTGTACACATTTCCGTGGGAGGCATGCTTGCAAGAGCCAACGTATCTCATTTCTTTGCATCGATTCACGCGACATGGTATTACATAAAAAGTACAAACTCTGCTGATTTGGGGAAACGAGCAGCTACCTCATCCACAAATAGTAATGAAAACCGCAAAGCCGATACAGCTAGAGCAAAATATGCTTCGTGGTGACGGTATTAGTGACTTTTAGTGATGATTCGATGGCGATGAGTTTCGTGCAAAACCAATGCAGTATTATAGGATGGCAAAATAACACACGACACACAGCTTGTTCACTGCTGTTACCCCAACCAACCAAGCTGAGCAAAACTCAAGCCATGTGCATACTATGTTACGCATCAACGCCACAAAAACTGACCTCGTTTTCATGTACTTGCGGCAGAGAACCGTCGACAAAAAATTAAGTACGTTATGGTGACGCAACTCTACGTTCACCCCTTGTATAAAATATTGGGAATACTTTCAGCCAGAGCATACTTCCGAGCGATACATTTGTGTTATTGTGAAACGTTGCCACACTACCTTTTCCGGAAAGGTGAAATGTTCGCATCGGGTGACATTTTGACATAGATGCGTAATTACTTTCCCTCTCCGAAGGTGTGAGTGGTTATCTATAAATCCATCCGGGACCGACGGAGGAAGAGCTCTACGATACAGGCTGAACATATAGGAATCAAAGAAGTCGGTCGACAATCCCTGGTGCTTCATCGGAAACTGGCTGGTATCTCGTTTTTAGACAGTGTTCCATGCGATGCAGAGGGGATAATGTTCGCCACACTCTGGCCACAGGGATTGGAGAGTACGCCCCAGCATGCGCAGGTGGATCCCTCGGCAAAGGATATCCTCGCCAGCAGGACCATCGCAGACCTCAACATGACAAGGTCTGAAGGAATCCCGGCGGCGTCCGGAATTAACAGGAACCTCACTGCCGCCGGTTGCGGTGAATGGGAGAAAACACTTCGCTTCAAGATCGCCGAGGAACTCCACGCAGGATCGCGAAGGTTAGCGACTTTCTCGGGCGAGGTGGGATTCGTATCCTTGAGCAACGAGGTACTGATGACGTGTGGAATGTACGAACAGAACCTGCTGCAAGTCATCAAATGACATCGTCACCACGTTAAAGATATTTGGACCCCTCCCGACAGAGAGCGGCAGGCTTGCATAAACTTCACGAAAATAGAAGACGCGGTAAAAACATGCGACACAAATATCTCAACGTGCAAAGCAATGCTGTGCAAAGAATTGCGGGTGCCAACAAAAGACATGACAGCAAACGAATGGGCACGCAAGGAAAGGGACGCGGAGAATCGCGCGTACAAACACGATGTTAAAAATTCTGCGTGTGAGGAGTTAATATGCGATTTATACAATTTCAGGGTTTCCCATCAGATAACTTTGCAGGCACGAAATGTCATGTTAACGGAGATTTAGCCCGACAAATATTTGCTCACAACGCAATGAAAGACAAAAAATCTGATGGATTTTGCGCAAGAGAATAAGAACATGCTTCTTGAGAACCTAGTTCGGTAACCTAATGACGCAGGAAAGTTGTAACAGGCAAGCTCATCCAAATCGCGATAGTCTGCGTCGGTTGTCCTGGAAGCACAACAGGCCGATGTCCGAACAAAAAGTCTCATGGAAAAAGTGGAGCGCAAAAGTCAAACAAGAAGACGACGGAGATGACGGCCGACTGGGATAAGACGGACAAAAAGTCCAATGGGAAAAATTGGAACGCAAGTCAAACGAAAAAAGACCACGGAGATGAAAGTCGACTAGGATACGAGTGGAATGAGGAAAATTGAAGCACATCGGTCGCTAAGAATACAAGTCGAATCGGAAAAAGTCGAACGACAAAAAGTTGAGCCACAAAAAGATGAACGACAAAAATTAACGTCTTTGCATTCAATGTTAGCGAGAGAACTAATGGTAACAAGGAACCAGGACCATTGGCTGCATACAAATAGTAAGAACCAGGATCCAATGTTTTGTTTTGTCGAAAGAACCAGCCCGAAACATGGTCTAGGGTTCGCTTTGATAATGATTGGGGTTTTAGGGCGCGTCGACTTCTACGGTCATTTTGCGCCCAGGGTTCGCTTTGTCAGAAGAACTACTGAGAAGCATAATCCAGGACTGAGTCTTGTCACAGGAAATAGAGTGAGCCAGGATCCCGTGTTTGGCTTTGTCAAAGAAGCCAGGATCCAGGCTTGTATTTTGTCCAAAACAGTGTAAACCAAGACCCAGGATTTTGGTTTGCCGAAAGAACCAGTGGGAACCAGGAACCAGTTATGATTTGACTAAAAAACCGATGTGAAGCATGTACCAGTTTTGTTTTTGGCGAAGGAACCAGTGGGAACCAGGATCCAGTTTTGTTTTGACAAAGGAACCAGAGGGAACCGCGGATCGGGACTAGGAATCAGGCACATGTCTTCGGTCAACGTTCTCCATCACGACTTTTTGTCCTTCAACTGTTCTCATTTGACTTGTTTCCATTCTTTTTTTATCCTGTACTACGGTGGCCACGAGTTACGAGCCCATGTCCTCTCCATTATGAATCAAGCATTCCGACGATGCAACGCAACACCCACTGGCACAAGCCTAGATTAGTACGCACCCGTTGTGCCAGGTGACAAGCCAGTGTCGTGTTTCAGCAGCTCTTCATCTGCAGCCGACAACGCCAACGGATCAGGCGGGACGTCACCGTCTGAGACGGCGCCTGTAAAACATCGCATGGCTGAACACGCTCAGTCTGTATTGTATTTACATGATTTTTCACATTCACATTCACCTTTGAATTCACATAGATAAGACAGTAGTCATCATAGCCTTACTCCTCGAAGAAAAACCAGGAGATTGGAGATATAGATGCGGTAATATTTTGGCGACATGCCTTCGTCAAAGCGAATAGTAGAAGTAACTTGAAAATTGCCTGTCAAAGACACTAATCGATTTTTCAGTTTTTTTTTAAACAATTAGCCACGGTTTTACAGGACACCAACATTCAGAACATTAAACAAGTGGCAACTGCCAGCCACTACTGCGATACAGTGCATATCTAAGAATAAGAATACGCGAAAATGCGTGTGCGTGCAAATGAATTCAAGTAAACAGGCATCGCGCATCACGCTTCATTCAAACATGCAAGCGAATTGAATTAAACAGGCATCACACATCCCGCGTCAATTGTGCATGCAAGCGATTTCAATTGAACGGGCATCGCGGATCACGCGTCAGGCATCACTTATACATGTAAACGATTTTAAGCTAGCACACATCACACATCAAGGTACGTATCACGTTCGAATAATCAGCAACGATGAGCCCTGTACGTTTAGGTTTGGTTGTCAACTTTTTGTAATACCAGATTAACTTTTTTCCGTCTGGGTAGTCTCGTGCTCTGCAGATGACTTTCAGCTCTAAAAGGAGCATCGGGTCCATACATTCCCGCATTTCAGCCCAGGCGTGTTTAGCGAGAAAATGGTCAACGAACGAGGTATCCATTGTTTTGTTTTTAGCATCTCGCAGGTGTTTATTAGATCATAAACGAATAGAGCGCATGACTCCCCGACATAGACTCTGTCCCCCATGTTTTTAACACAGTTAATACTTAATTTCGTAAACCACGCTTTTTGCGTGCAAAGCCCTTGAAGCCCAGGCTTGCATAAATGACATCTGTGTGTAATTGGGGCTTTACGACGCACTCAGCTGCTGACATAAATGACATCTATTGCCAACTGGGCACGTAGGCTCCGAGATACAGGATTTCACCAGCGACTTTTCTAGCTTATTGTCGTTCTTCCAAGCCATGCGTACGCGCAGTTTTGATTTCTTAACGATGTATTTGATTTTACAAAGCAAGTGCTCATCTATGCTAGGCAGCGTTAAGAATCCTTCGTCCGATAGGACGTGTTCCGACTCCTACCCCCATCCCCCACGCGCTACCTCTTTTTTGCTTCCTCCAACATTCTGCAAAAAAAGTCGCGGTGAATACACATGGCCCAACAGCAAAAGTCATTTGTTGTTTATGTCCTTTCTTTCCTTTTCACTATATGGTGACCTGTTTAGAGCCCTGTGGAATATCTTACAAATTATTTTGCGATTGGTGGAAGTTGGATGCGCAGATTCGCAGTGCAGAATTATAACACAGCTGGTGGGCTTGATAAAGAGCTCCGTCTCTAACGTTGTGCGGCTGTTCCTCTTTTCCCCGGCACTAGTGTATCCAAATATGGGACCCTTTTCGCCCCCTGACGCTCCATCGTAAAGGCTTAATTTGGATGCTGTTTGTCCATGAATTCTACAAATTATTCAAGGGCACGCCGTTTGTGCGTCCACACCCCAGCATAATCATTTATATATCCAGCTGAGAAAGTTTCTTTTAATGGGCTGGCGGCCAGGGCCTTCGATTCAAATTGGTCTAAAAACAGTATCGCCATAGGAGGAGCGCAAGGGTTCCCTATTCCTATACTCAATTTCTGTCGGTAAAAGTCATCTCCGATCGAAAAAAAACATTACCCTTGACACATTGTTCTAAAAGACCGCAGATTGCGACGGACCAAAACGATCAATGTCATGGAAATGTTTGTCTACCTTAGCTTTCACGGCAGCACTAAACCTTTTGACTGGTATATTGCCATATAAATTGACATCTGCACTGAAGAAAATGCTGCCCTCTGCTAATCCTGCCGCCTCCAAATTATTAAAAGCCTTTTTAAAAGTTTCTGGTGCCCCACAGATGAGTAGGAACAAACCCCAAGAGTCGATTATTTTCTCTAAAAGACACGGAGTTTTGTTCCGTAAAGCCACCGCACGCAGAAATGACAGATGATATAACGGATGAAGGCATGTTGCCGAAATATCAACACATCTATATCCCCATTCTCCTGTCTTTTTTTCTCCGTGGAATAAAGCTATGACTACTGTCTTACCTATGCGATTAATGTTTCTCACAAACGCGCTTAACAACTTTCGTAAACTTGAACCCAATAGTAGCCGCCAGAAAATGCTGGCTGAAGCTCTCCACAATCAAGAAAAACTAACTAAAATTCAATTACGCATAGAATTCTTAATTGCCTGCCGTAGGAAAAGCTAGGTCCCGCGGTACATCAAAGACGCACTGAAGCCTGTGACCCATATTTTCTCCGAGACTAGGGCTTTAACTCGTTCTGCTGGCATTGCTAAGGCTTTAGTGCGCGAGGCAATCATAGAAACTTTTCGAAAAAAGGTCTTCAAATGCCTTTTTAGAAACACAATGTTCACCCTTATTCGGATCAATCTCATCTTTCCTAAGGAACAAAAGATACGCATGTGCGACGTGTGAACGAATTTTTGAAATCACTATTCGCGAAAATAGACCAAGACTGATTAACACGCTCACACAACTTCAAGCTAAGCGCCAGGTGAATGACTGCTACGAAAAACCGAATGATAGCCCAATAAGTAAAAACAGAGTGAATGATTTATAGTCTGTAGAATTTAATACCGCAGGAATTAATCTTCTAGCGAAAGGTCAGAACTTTGCGCAAGCGCAGTCAGCATCTAAAGACATTTTAGTTAAAGAAGAAACACGATTTGAGCATTCTGCAGACGGCAAACGGCGGAAAGAGTACATCTAAAAATTGCGTGACGGCAGCAACACAACTACTGTGATTCCACCGGGCGAAGACCAGCCAGCTTCAATAGGCGGCGCAGCAGTACCATCCGAATCCGCGAACGCACCTAGCGATCTCCGTGGGACAGACACCAAAGATCGCAACGAAGATCAGCCTCACCGAGGTCGCACCCCGAATGTGGCGTTTAGATTTCCAGACATCGGCAAGAATTTTCCGGAACCTTCCAGTACTGATGTAGAAATCAGCCTGCAGAAACTGAAGGATGGCGGACTGGGCACGTTAAAAAACAGTGAAGTACGTACACTCAGTATAGTACTAAGTGCTGAGTACATCAAACGCCGTTAGTTACCCCACGCATCCGCGTGATGCGTGATACTCGTTTACTTGAATTCCTTTGCATGTACACGTACTTTCACACATTCAAATACTTAGTTGGATATGCACGATATCACAGCAATGGCTTACCGCTCCTGGTTTAATCCCCCGAAAAATATCGACGCATCTGTATCTCCAGTCACCTGGCTTTTCTCTGAGGAATAGGGCCATTACTACTGTCTTATCTATGTGAATAATGTTCCCCCGTAAATGCACTTCACAGCTTACGTAATTCACACGTGTATTCATCAAACCAAGTAGTTCTGTGCAGTGCTGTGTTCTGCTGTCCTCTTGTCTCGTCTCGTCTCGTCTCGTCTCATCCACTCCATCCTCCTTTCCTCATCTTTCTCTACCACACCTCTCCTGTCTATTCGACCCCAGCCGGAATAACAACCGGTGGCAGTCCAATGCCATCACCTTGGCTTGGGGGCAAACTCGACACCCGCGATCGCACCGCAAGGCTAGCAACACATCAACTCACCTGCACCTGAAGGGCGGCACTGCGGGGCGGCACCGCGAGTCCGTCCAATGCTGTGACACCGCCCTCACCTGCACCTGATGGGCGTCACCGCGCGGCCGTCTGATGTCGTCACACCGCGCTCACCTGCACCTGAAGGGCGACACCATGCGGCCGTCTGATGCTGGGGCACCGCACTCACCTGCACGTGAAGGGCGGCATTGCGGGGCGGCACCACGCGGCCGTCCGATGCTGTGACACCGCCCTCACCTGCACCTGAAGGACTGCTGACTCGGGAGTCCGGCTGTTCTGACGTCATCAGCACAGTACGCCCCCATTCCTCAGCGCCATCTTCTCCGTCGGACGGCACTGACCTGGAGCTCCTGGTCACCGGCTCATACCGTCTGCGACACACATACACACACATATCGGCGTTGTTTGGACGGCTGAGGCGGCACCACACCTGGCAAACACATCACTCCGAGGCTGAGCATGGGCTCCCACCAGCTAACAGCGCCCAGCAATTTGCGGTGACGGCAGCCCCGATTGTCGTGGTCGGCCCGGTCCCGCGTCCCGGTCCCGCGTCCCGGTCCCGGTCCCGGTCCCGGTCCCGGTCCTGGTCCTGGTCCCGGTCCCGGTCCCGGTCCCGCGCCAGGCGGTCCCCGGTTCCGCACTGACGCGGCACGGCAGATCTCCCGGATCCGAGCCAGACCCGCCGTCGCGAGGCGGGGAGACTCTACCGCGAGGACGTGGTAGGTCACGTGGTCGCCAGGTCGGCTCCAGGCTTGTCACCGAAGCAGTGCACAGAGCAGGGGGCAGATTGAGTGGGAAAGGCCATCAACTGCATGCAAGAGTGGATGACACTTCCATCACTGTGTCAGCAGATCAGGGCTGACAACATGTGATTAAGAGGCCAATAAAAAACACTGCAATTTGTCACATGCAAAGCCCAGAGACTACCACTATAATCACTCTAACTCTTTAGTACAGAAGCATAAGCAGTCATCCAAATGGTAATTGTAAACTGAAACACTTGCAGCACTTAGAGAGTCCTGTGTTATCATCAGCATACCAATAATGATCATGAGCTCATCAAAGCTAAGCAATGCATTAGTATGGTCTAATGAGATGCAAATGTAACCATATATTATATGTTGTGCATGCACTAGCAATGTTGAGGTGTATTCCACATTGCTCATTTACTAGGTAATAACATAGCTCAAACCGTCTGAGCAAGGACATGCATCATCTAAAAGACAAGGGTTTCTGCCTACAACCCACAATTATTTCTAATAAAAGCCATTAACCATGCCACCAGCCTAAGAAGGCAAATTTGATCAAGCTCTTCTCACCCACATATATGCAGATTGCTGAGCCCTGGAGCATCATGTGATGATGAAGGTATGTGATCAGGGGCAGCCACAGCATCCCAGTTCTTCCAGTGGCTGGTCATGCCACTGATCACAGACTCAGTCTCCTGTGAAAAAGTGAGGGAGGACTTATGAGAGGAGATAGTGAACACAAAACAAGTGATAACACATGCCAATATGGAAATTATGCCTTAATTACACACACACACATGCACACACACACACACACATGTGAGGGTTTATCATACAGCTTGAATAGACTCACAGTCCTCCTCAACCAGAAAATTATAAAAATAAAAGGTTGGCCTGGTGACAGCAGCAGTGACAGTGACAGTGACAGTGACAGTCAGACATGTGGGAAGACATAACAACTGCAGCTACTCATCCTCACCACTGACTCTCACCACCATTGTGAAGTGTGCCAGGAGCTGGCCACAGCCATCTCATAGGCTACCATCCAACTTTACTGGCTTAACACTATAAGGCATTCCTCATTTTGCAGGCATGGATTCTGTCTTTCTGGGCTGATGCCACTGTCAACAGTGTGAAAAAGCTCACACTGTCCTTTGTGCATCATTTATGCTATAACAGTCAGCCCAGCAATCTGTAGCATGCCCTCACGCCAGCATACATCTGCATGTACATGGCACACACCAATAGTACATGCAACACTTTATGCAGGAAGCATACCCAAATACTTTCTCTTGTCACCCTACTTTACCTGAAATGTAATACAAAAAGCATGCAACACACCTCTTGCCACATGGTTTCAGGCTGGGCCATAAGTACCACTGAACAGCTCTTGATACAACTGGTGACTGCATGCTGCGCTTCAGGTTGTGCATTTTTCTTAAGACAAGGCTTGTCAGTGTGGTTGGGGCAAGCCATGCCTCAGCACTTTTGTAGGGGGGCTCCCCACAGTGCAGGGCCCCGGCTGGCTGGATGTCTGTTTCTGTAATCAGAAGATGGTTTGAGTATGCGACAGGGTCATGTGCACAAGCTGCACCATACTTGTAAGTAATATCCACCACATCACACGTTTTGAGTAATGACTGGATAAAAACATCCCTCCTTTACTTCATTACCTGCAACTCCCACCCTAACACAAGCTACCATGGCTGCAAGGTTTGTATACTGTCGTGCTGAGGAAAGGCTGTGAGGCATCCACTGATATTGTGACGTCACTGAAAACGGTTTTGCGTCGATCGAACATCAATTCTTTGACGGATCACCGCAGCGTGTGACGTTACGGGTCATACATTTTGATGGGTTCTTTTGAGCCGATTTAAGGCCATAGAGCATCAGCTGATGATATGACGTCACTGCTCTTCGACCAAACCTCAGGCGCAACAAACCATGCTCCAACTTTATCTTTCGCGCCCGTCTTCTGCAATCATTCCCGTTCTGAGTACAGGCTCTATGACGTCATTGCATGTGCAACTTTCACTAGGCGCAATAAGCCATGCATTTGTAATAAGCAAACATGGTGTGTATTTGGCCCCCTGGTTACGTGCACGTACACCCAAACAGTTCATGATCGGTACGAAGGCAGTCCAATATCCCGACCGCCCATCTCTGCAGCATTTCCGCGTGAGGGTGTTCTATTTCCATGCCGATTTCATTGTAACGGTTGGCAGGATATGCTCTTGAAAAGTGCACCATCACATTGGGCTTGACTTCTACGCGATTGGCTCGCTGGTCATCTGCACCTGCCGAAAAGGAGTTTTATCGTTATCGATACGAAGAGAGCCCGATATTCCGGCCGTCTTATCCCATATAATTACCATGTGTACGTTTATACTTCTCATGCCTTGCATCGTACCTATTGGTTGGTGGCATATGTGTACAAGGCACTGTACCATATTTTTAATCAAATTCTACGCAAAGGCCCCGCTGGTCATACGCACCTCCCACTAAACAGCTCGTGCATTAGTTGTTAAGAGGATTTCCGATGTTCCGTCTGTCTCTCAGCTTTACGCCCCGCGGCTAGCGATTGCGTGGCATTGAAGTCTCCGTATCAGTGAGGCCACCGCAAGATACAAAACATCTGTAGATTCGACTTATAGCACAGCGCATGCACCGCAACCTCTGATAGTAACTGCGTTACAATGGCGTACGTGACAAATGAGCTGTGGGTGGGTATTCCTGATGTTCCAACAAGGTAATGTCACACCAGCTTCGAAGTATGCCGTAGTGCCGCAAACCGCCAAGCGCTATGGAAATGTGTATCTTGGATTCGAAATAATGCTATCCCCATGGGCTTACAATGACATGTTGAAATGCATAAAATGAGATCATTTTATTCATTTATTCATTGGTTGAAGAACCTAGGTTCTGCAAGCATTTAGAACAGCCACCTCCCACCCCGCTAACACGTTTAAAGAGGGTAAGGGAGGGATGGACTATCACCCATCGATCTCCTTGAAAGTTGCAAGCGATTCAAGCACAGCACACCCGGTTCCCGTCAGGCATCCCGCCCGGCAGCCGGAAGTCGGGCTGGCCGGTGAATCCCATGACTAATGTTGAATAAATCCCAAAATGATGCATGCACAGTTTAAACAAGGAAGCTCAGTCGCTAGGTGAAGCAAGCCCACAAGCGCTTGCGGCCTGACCAGTTGCCAATTGAACGTGCCAATTTTGTGTTGACGGCAGTAGCTGCCCGGGAGGACTAAGCTCTGTAAGAAAGCTTGCCTAATTTGGTACCTGCGCAGCGCATTTTGCTAGTGGCGTTTTTGCACGCATAAGCTTCTCACACTGTAACAAACGCGCTACGTTCGGTTCTCATGCGTTGCTCGTAACGCTAAGCTCGCCAGTACTTCCAATGTTTATGTCAGGGGGCGTCATCGGCGTAAATTAACACCCTTCAAAACTGGTAGCTTTCAGCTGCGTGTGGACGGAGGTAGTCCGGATCGTTAATAGGCATTCCCCTGAAGGCCCTCAAGGCCTTGAAGTTCAGCTGACAACAGCGGTAACGCTATGTCGCAGTCCAGTGTTAATTGTTACGTGTGCCGAAATTTTCATGTTGTGAGCACGTCACCACCTTTGGTTCCTGTTATGCCCGCCATGTGCATGACCATTGAGCTTGTCAATGAACTGCTTGTTGGAAGCTAATTGCAAGCTGATTGTTGCATTAACAAGCTTTGCCTTCAAATGTTTTCATCCCATTAAAGCTATTTGTTGTTACAATGATGCTCATGGTATGACAGGCTTAGATTTTGTATGGACTGAATACCATGCTTTATGAACAGGTAAAAGTAAACCTACATTGAGTTTTGAAATGTGGTTTAAGGGAGTGACCCATATGTGAACATTTTGAAGAAGCATCAAATGTGACGAAATATACTAACTTACACCATTGGCATCCTGTCAAGTGGAAAGGCTGCTCTAGAAGACAGTCGATCAGTTAAGTAAATTGCTCCTCAATATTGCCTTTTGATTTTGTTTTCATAACTTGCACAATGTTGGTTGAGTGCTGATTGACAGCAAATATATCTGAAAATGGTTCCCTCAAATGCGGGATATGAACAACAACTCTTAAATGATGTTTTTTCTGGATGTTGGTGGCCACATGGCCAATGGTTTAGCAGGAGCCAAGTGGCATAGCTATGTCAAAATGGATGCTTAAGCTGCCTTGCAGTAGTCTCTCTGAAGTGGTCTGCACATCTTCACAGGAATGTGGCTCAGAACATAGCAGGGCTTAGGCCTTAAGGAAGTTATGGCTGTCAAGTGCATGAAGTGATCTTTAATATGCCTATTTTCGCTCATAACCCCATATGAATATGGATGTGGAGCACCCCCTTTAAATGGTTTTTCATGTGAGAAACTTCACCAGAGTGCATACTGGTCTGTTCTCTTTTCAAATGTTGTGATTTTTGCTCATACTATGTATTCAGTGCAGATGGACACTTGCAATTTATGAGTGTGTCAACATATAAATTGCAGAGAGAGCATATATTTTCTAATCATTTTTTTGAAGCAGCCATGTTTGATCTACATCATAATATTGGAAAGAGGTAATGAAGTAACTTGGGACATCACTAAGAGTAGATGTCTGAGCCAACTGACATAATCTTAGTGGGTTGGGAGAGAGGGGAGCTGAACCAATTCAATGGGCCAAGCTGCTGCCAGGAATGGAAGCAGGCCATGGCCCTGGTATCACTGTCAGCTGTGTCCCCACCTGCCATTGGCTGCAGGGGTATTGTCATTCATAGTCTATATGCTCCTGTTATCAGCCACAACCCCAGAGCTTTGAAGTCAGGGTCTGTAGACCTAGTGAGCCCATCATTAGATGCAAGCTCAGCAGATGTGCCCTCCATGTATTCTTGACCTCTTGTATTCAGCATGTGTCAAAATATCATCAGCTCCATCCCAACTGGTTATGGTATGATTGCAAGTACAATAGCATAGTACCCACATGTCTCTTATCACTTTCAGCTAATGATGCATGCTCTGTGAAGACAACAACTATCAAGCATGGCTTCTAAGCCAGTATCTATTGTCCAAACATACATAAGTGGGCTCCGTTCTAAATCAGAAGATGAGAAGTCCAAGACTGTCCATGTAAGTATGCACCCTTTTGTAAGGTCCAAGACTGTCCATGTACATGTACACCTTTCTTTTAGGTCAGTTATTGGTCAAAGTTCTCCATTTGTTTTTGTTCAGATGCATGGTACATTGATATGGTTGCAAAGTCTGAAACCTACTGAGATGCTGGTAAAGATAAAGTTTAGCAACATTTGACTTTTATGTTACCAGCATTTTGCTAAAGGCCTGATGGATCAGATGTGGTGAAAATGCTCAAACACAAAGTGAACAGACATTATGGGCATATGTCATGACTTCCTAGTCCCAAAGTGCCACTGTACTGTATAACCGGCCTCACCAGTCACCATGTGCCTCAGGGTACCCAGCTGCTGTGTCACCATCAGGCATGTGTGTGCTGCAGGAGCTGTACCACTATGTCAGCACCGAGCTGCTGGAGGTGCCGCCGGGAGAGCTGCAGGCCTTCATGGACGAGTTCAACCACCAGATATTCAACTTGGCCTCCAGCGCCGACAGCAACGACAAAAAGGGCGCCATTCTGGCCACCGGTAAGATAGCCATACTTGGCGAGGATGGGGGGCTAGACCACTCCACAAACCTGGGCAGACACAAATCATTTAAACCTGAAATGTTAAGCAAAGGCATTAGCGAATGCTTTTGTTTACACTCTACGAATATGCACACACACATCCCACTGTGTCTTTGGTTGGATCCAGTGCACTGGTTGGTTGATTCAATGACAACATTGACATTTCTGTCAATTACAGCACTCCAGTGCCTGCCACCTGGTCCTCAAACGACCAAATTGACTGCCCCCCCCCCCCCGTGGCAGTGAGCCTGATCAGCGTGGACGTGGGCAACAGCACCACGCGCATCTCGCGCTCCGCCAACCTGCTGCGCAACCTGCTGCCGTGCGCCGACATCGGCGTCATCGAGCTAACGGCCAAGGCGGTGGCGCGACTGGCCATGAGCTCCGGCCTGAACTCGGCCGAGTACGTCGAGTTCGAGGTCAAGCGCGCGCTCGAGTGGCTGGGCGGCGAGCGCAACGAGAACCGGCGCCAGTCGGCGGTGAGTGACCTGCAGGGGGCTCAGCGTGCCGGCGCGGGTTTCGGCGCAGGGGGCGGAGGCTTGACGGCGTCGCCGCTCTCGTCTGATCGTGTGGAGACTGCCCGCACCGCTGGAGTCAGGCTGTGCAGGTGGAGTGACCCATCGGAGTGTTTCGGTGGTCGGTCTTTGCGTCGGTGTTTGCGCTGTCTCTTACCTTCGCCTCGACCTAAAGTGCGTGTGGGACGCTACGCTTACCTGCGCCGTGTCTTCTGATATCTTCTGAGCCTGCCTGGTCTGTGGTGAACCTGCCTGCTGGCTGCGGGTCGCGCCCCACTCTGTGCTGAACTTGCCTGCTGGCTGCGGGTCGCGCCCCGCTCTGTGGTGGACCTGCCGACCGGGTGCGGGTCACGCCCCCCTTTGTGGTGAACCTGCCGGCCGGCTGCGGGTCACGCCCCGCCCTGTGGTGAACCTGCCGACCGGCTACGAGTCACGCCCCGCCCTGTGGTGAACCTGCCGACCGGCTACGGGTCACGCCCCGCTCTGTGGTGAACCTGCCGACCGGCTGCGGGTCACGCCCCACTCTGTGGTGAACCTGCTGACCTGCTGTGGGTCACGCCTCGTTGTGTGCTGAACCTGCCGACCTGCTGCGGGTCACGCCCCGCTCTGTGGTGGACCTGCCGGCCGAGTGCGGGTCACGCCCCATTCTGTGCTGAACCTGCCGACCTGCTGTGGGTCACGCCCAGTTCTGTGGCGAACCTGCCGGCCTGCTGCGGGTCACGCCCCGTTCTGTGGTGGACCCGCCGGTCGGCTGCGGGTCACACCCCGCTCTGTGGCGTTCGACAGGTGATCCTGATCCGGGAGTTGGCCGCTTCTGTGCCGACCTACTTCTTCCAGCAAGTGGGTCCGTTCTTCGACATCATCTTCTGCGCGGTGCGCGACCCGAAGGCCAGCATCCGCGAGGGTGCCGTCAGCGCCATCCGCGCCGCCCTCCAGGTCACGGCGCAGCGCGAGGTCAAGGAGACACAGAAGCCCCAGTGGTCAGTGAGCGGGGCGAGAGGGCGCGCGTCCGGCTGCCAGAACGCTGCTGGTGATCACTGTCCGCGGGTTGGGACGTGACGCACGGCGTGTGTCGTGATATACCAGCACTGCTTGCTGCCGACGCGCTGGTTACTGTGTGGGACAATGTCTAGGTTTCACCACGTGCTAGCGGGGTTAGTTTGCTTGTGTGCGCATTGGATAGCAATGATATTTGCTAATTTGTTACCAGGTACCAGCACTTCGTTGGTTTGCCATCGGGTATCAACGGTGCTCGTGTCCGTTTGTACGTCGCCAGGTGTCGGCCGTGTTTGCCGTGTCCCCAGGCGTAAGCACTGCTTGTGTGTGTATGTGTATGTGTGTGTGGGGGGGGGGGGGGGGGCGTGCGTGCGCACGTGCCTGCGTGTGTCACTGAACTGCAGGCCCATGCCTGTCACCAGGTTCCAGCAGTGTTTTTCGGCGGGGCATGTGACCAGGCACCAGCGGGCCCTTGTGAATGCCACGACACCAGTATGCTGCTATCGACGTGACGCAGTCGGCATCGAATGCCACAACGCCAGTATGCTGCTATCGATGCGATGCAGTGGGCATCGCATCTAACTTGCGACGGCCGTGTCCGAGCTCAGACGCCACGGGTTACGTCTGCTCCCCTCCGGGCCGGCCGCGGCCCTCGGCGGGCGAGAGGGCGCGGGGGTGACCCGGCCGCCGCCGCCGACAGGTACCAGCAGTGCTTCGGAGAGCTGGAGCACGGCTTCGTCGACGAGAACCTGCGCGGTCTGACGCGCGACGACCGCGTGCACGGCTCGCTGCTGGTGCTGAACGAGCTGCTGCGCTGCAGCAACGTCGACTGGGAGGTGGAGCAGCAGGAGCTGGAGGCGGTGGCGCTGCACCAGCCCGAGCGGCACGCCCGGGTCAGTCGGCGTCACGCCGCCCCGCTCGCCGGCGCGCGGCGAGCGCGGCTCCACGCGCTCAGCTGGTGAATGACAGTGGTTGTTTAAGCGCTGGTGGCAGTTTTGTGATGTGGGGAGAAAGTCATTGTCGGCGGCTGATGAGAAGTTTTGCAGAAACATTGAACTTGTTCGTTACTCTAGCTTTTGCTGTTTCATGTTATCTGGGATCAGGCCAGGGCTGAGTGAATGACCGCGTGGGCCGATCTCCATCGGGCTCCTGTTGGCCGACTCATCTCGCTTGGTAGCCAGCAGTAGGGCTAAACCCCGCTCAGATCACGATTTATGCGGTGTAGCCAAACCGCGAGTAAACAGCAGCCGGCCGTTGCCAGCCGCTGTTTGCCGGGTGTCTGGTCAGCGGGAGATGCGCTGATGCGCTGGGCTGGAGGCGCTGTCCCGGTCAGGTTCAGCCCTGGCTCGCTGCTTCGGCCAGTTGACTGCCTGTCGCTAGTCGCTGTCGCTCGCGTGGAATCCGTCGTGGTCTTCCCGTTTGAACGTCTGGGATCCCCCTGAGTGACCGTCCTCGAGTGGGTGCTGGCGTTCCGACAAAGACCATGTCTGGACCGCTAGCTGAATGTGACTCTCCGTTTTTGCTGGCTGTTTGGTCTGAGTTGACTTCGAAATAGAAATGGGACGTGAAATCGTGCTGGCTTGGCCCAGCCTGACCTGACCTACCTGACCCACTTCGCCATGTGACTGTGCTGACCTTTCCTGCCCCCCCCCCTCCCCCCACCCGATCCCGGAGCTCACCAGCCCCCTGACTATATGTCTGTACTGACCCGACCCCTGACCTGACTAGACCCTGACCACATGTCTGCTGGCATTTCCAGCCCCTTGTTTTGAATCTGACCAAACCCCTGACCATACTGTGTTTGTGTGATCTTTCTTGCCCCTTGACCCGTGACCCGTGGCCCGACCCATGACCCCCGGCCCCTGACTGTCAATGTATGCCGCCGCAGCACCAGCAGCAGTCGGCGCCGCGCCAGCGCCGCTACAAGGCCATGCTGCTGCGGCTGGCGCAGAAGCCGACCTTCTCGCCCAGCTACCTGCTGAGCGGCGCGCCCGTCAGCGGGCAGCCCCTGTACGCCAGCCTGACGTGTCGCGCCCTGCTCAACGCCAAGTACACCGCCGTCTGCCACCACGTCAGTCGCCGGGCTCACCAGGACTGTTGCGATCTGTTGTCGATGACAGCGTTCCGCAGTGCTACGACGTTGTGCCGTCCGCTTGAATTGCTCGCGAAAGCGGTGTTGGGCGTTTCCGTGCCCGTGGCGCTGTCGTTTGCGCCAGCCGCCATTATGCGTTCTCTCTCCGCGCTCGTCTTGCGAGGCGGGGCGCATGTTTTTGTGAGGTTCATGAGTAAAGGGTCGCGACCTGACAGTACAGGTGACCCGACCGGCACCGACCACGACGGAGCGCTCGAGCGGGGCGGATTGTAATGTAACGCGGTGGGCCCTGTGCCTGCTGCGCTCGGTACTCGATCCGTATTTTCCCTAACCGTTCCTCCGTGCTGCAGGTGACGTCGAACATGTACAACAAGAGCCCGTACGTGCAGCAGGTGATTCTGGCGATGCTGCCTCGGCTGGCGGCCCTCGACCGAGCCAAGTTCTGTGCCAAGTGAGACGCGCGCCGTGCTGGGACGCTCGCCCGCTCCGTCTCATGCGTTGGGTGTATCGCTCACATGTTGAACTTTCGGCGGTCTGTGAAGAAACGGCAGTGCGGGCCCACTTGTGCAAATCGGCAATCATGAGAGCATGTGTAGAATTGTGTATGGTAGCGCGGTGTAGCCAGACCACCAACAGGCATGTCTAGTATCCAGGCAAGCGGCACGCGCGCGCCATGCTTCCCCGCGTTTGTCGCGACTGGGGCGGGCTCTTCCACACTCAGCGTCCACACGGTGCGACAAGTAGTGCTGCGTCTTCCCCCGGCGGACTCGTTTGAGATGAAGCACGCCTGAGTGCGACGAGGCCGCCTTTGTTTCCTGTTTCGTGACCAGTGCTCGGTGAGGTCGGTAACGGAGCGGACGGCTCAGCGCTCCGGACGCGGCGGCGCCTCCGTTAGCACGTGCGACTCACGGCAGCAGCCGCTCGTAGAGGTCTGGAGGCCGGTGACGCGCCCCGGCTGTGGCTCTGCGAGCTCGCCGTCGCTACTTGTGGGTGTGTGGCTCACTCCAGTGGGGCTGACGTTCGAAGAGAACCGCGCTGAATTGTTTAAGCCCTAGCTGCACCTGCAGCGCCCCACGTGGTGTCTGGCTGTCTACCTTCTTCTGGCTTGACGTCGCTAAGTCGGGATTGATGACTAACGCATTGCTCGCTGTATCCCTGGCTCCCTGGTGCTCCCTGCCGTAACGACCACCCCGCGTGACAGCTAATACAGTTGCAGTGCGGCATACGTGACAGCCGCTGCTACTGACAGCTGAGACGACGGCCTCCTGTGACATGTAGCACGGGTTCATAACAGGTGTAGAAGCTGCATCGTGGCCAGCAGTGGCGGCGGCGTGGTGTGACAACGTTGACAGCCAATCCGTTCGAAGAGCGGTGCTGTGTGTCACCTAGGCAGCCTCCTCGCGTGTCAAATGGCACAGCCTGGCCGTGTGGCAGCCGCTCCAGGCGTCAGTCCGTGGCAGTCATGACGGCCCCTGGATTTGACGGCCTTGGTGACCGCCACATGTGGCTGCCGCCCTGCAGGTACATGCCGAAGGCGGTGCAGTACATCCAGTGGTGGCTGCAGCGGAAGGACGCGCCCAAGTCGTCGGCGTTCCTCTGCCTTGGCTTCCTGGCGGCCGCCGTCCGCGAGCACATTACCAAATATATCCCGAACGTGCTGGACGCCATCAAGGCCAACATCATGCCCAAGGTGAGTTGGAACGCGCTGGCCCGGTGCATCGACCGACGCGCAGTAACGGTGGCCAGCAGCTGCGGGCTCTGGCCACACCCGCCAACCGTGGCACGAGGCGACGAGGACAGTGGGGATTTTTGGCTGTGAGCTTTCAAATTAAGCTACGCCCGGCCGTGTGAGCCGTAACGTAGCATGCGCCGTCGGCCAGGCTCGGGCTGGTAGCAACTGTGGGAGCTGAGAGGCTTCGCCGGCGCGGACTCGCTTCCCCTGCCGTCTGGAAGGCCTGCCCTGCCTCGACGGCCGCGGGCGAGCGATGTTCGCGCGGCGGCCGCGCACAGCTGAGGGCGGCGTTTGTGCCCGCGTGCCGACAGGACGGCTCCCTGAAGAAGCGCGGCGCCGCCGGACACACCGACCCGGCCGTCTACGGCTGCATCTGGCTGCTGGCGCGCGCTGGCCGCATCGAGCTGCGCGCGGAGATGGACGAGCTGCTCAACCACATGCTGGCCTCGGCGCTGACGCCGGCGCTGACTCACGCCCTGCAGGTACCGGCTGACAGACGTCTGGGCAGCCGCAGATGCCCGTCGCGTACCGATGGATGCACACGCCTGCGGACAGATGACCAGGCAGATGCCAGATGACAGACCGATGAGGCGCCATATTGCGCGGGATTGTGACGTTAATGAGCAAAGATTTTGTAGGCGTCGCTAAGTGGACACAGTACGGTCATGTGTGGGCCGTATCCGCGCTCGTTCCGGCTATTAGTTGCCGCGACGTACTGCCGCCTGTTACGCCGCGTGTGCCGCGTCCCGTGCTAACCGCGCCGCCCTGACCGCGCCGTCCTGACCGCGCCATCCTGACCGAGCCGTCCTGACCGCGCCGTCCTGGCCGCGCCGTCCTGACCGCGCCGTCCTGACGGCGCCGTGCTGACCGCGCCACCGCCCTGACCCTGCCGCCCTGACCCCGCCGCCCTGATTACGCCGCCCTGACTGGGCCGCCCTGACGGCGCCGTCGCGCTGCAGGAGATCGCCACCCAGATCCCGGAGCTGCGGGTGAAGGCGGGCGACGGCCTGATGACGGTACTGTCGGCGCGGCTGGGCGTCAAGCCACCAGTGCTGCGGCACCGGCCGCCGGCGACCGCGCACGCCAGCCTGCCCGCCGACCGGGCCTCGCTCATCAACACCACGCTGGCAATGCGCACGCTCTCGCACTACGAATACGACAGTGAGTAAGCGGCGTGCCGGTGCGGTGCTGGCTGTCGCGGAGGGCTGGCGGGCTGGGAAAGGCTTGCGTTTTTCACGACGCCTCCGGTTTTCTCTGGTGAGGAAACCGTTGACGTCCTGCTGTCTGTCGAAGTGATGCTTCAGTCGCCGCGATTTATGTTCGTCGTCGGTGGTGTGATGCGCTGTCGCATCCGAAAAGGCCCCCTGGGGGGTGAGGCTCGAGCCGTCGGAGGCCTGACTGTCAGGCGGAGCGGCAGACGGCATGAGCTGCGGACAGCCGGCGTGAGTTGCCGCCGTGCTGGCGCCGTCCGCGTCGGTCGGTGCTGACGCCCTGCGCCCGCCGCCAGACTGGTCGCTGATGATGTTCATCCAGTACTGCGCCGACCACCATCTGCTGTCGGAGGACGCGCAGGTGCGGCTGGAGGCGGTGCGCACCACCTCGCACCTGCTGACGCCGTCGCTGCTGGGCGTTACCGGACGCAGCTCCAGCCTGCAGAAGAGCGTCAGCGACGTCATCAGCAAGCTGCTCGCCGTCGGCATCACGGACACGGGTCAGCGGCGTGGCGCGCGGCGCCGCGGCGGGCCCGCGCCGACCGGCGCTGCGCTCAGGCGATCGGCAGACGTACCGGCTGAGAGAGGGCGGGAAGGGAGGGGGTCTTGTGGTCAAGATCCGCGAGCAGCGCCACCGCGCGGAGGGTCCGCGCTGCTGTTCCGGTGGCTGCGGTCCGGTATTCTTGTTGTGGTGACTAAGTGGACCTCGTTTGTTGACAAGGGCTTACGGGTGGAGGTAAGTTAGACGCATGCCGAACTTGCACAATGCAAGTGATACGAACTACGTGGCTAGCTGCCAAATGAATGGGTTGGAAACTCGCAAGAGCGCGGCAATGTGCGTAGATGATTGCAAGGGCTGTTGGCCGCCGTTTCAGACCCGGAGATCCGTCTGACGGTCTTCTGGTCGCTGGAGGAGCGTTTCGACAACCATCTCGCCCAGGCAGAGAACCTGAACGCCCTGTTTGTGGCGCTGAACGACCAGGTGCGTTGCGTGGCCGGGTGGGTCTGTACGGGCCACCAGCCGCGCCAAACTCGGCTCTCTCCCCACTACGTAAAACCGCGGCTGTTTGTCCCTTGCCCTGTATCTGAAGGCTAGACGTCGTCTTTGAGGTGATTTGGCTCCATCAGGCCTTTTTTGTCGTCGGATGGTCAGCTGCGCACGCACGCGAGTGAGGAGTCTGCCCACTCGCCGCGTGCTGCGCGCGGCCGTGACGTCCGGGCCGTGACATGCCGGCAGTGACGTGCCAGCCGTGACGTGTAGTCGTGACGTGCCGGCCGTAAGGTACCGGCCGTGACGTGCCGGCCGTGACGTCCGGGCCGTGACATGACAGAGACGTGCTGGCCGTGACGTGCCGTCCGTGACGTGTGGTCGTGACGTGCCGGCCGTGACGTCCAGGCCGTGACTTGCTGGCCGTGACGCGTGGTCGTGACGTGCCCGCCGTGACGTCCGGGCCGTGACATGCGGGCAGTGGTGTGCCGGCCGTAACGTGTGGCTGTGTGACGTCAGCCGGTGCTCGGCCGCAGGTGTTCGAGATCCGTGAGATGGTGCTCTGCATCATCGGCCGCCTGAGCGCCATGAACCCGGCGTACGTCATGCCGAGCCTGCGGAAGACGCTGATCCAGGTGGGCGGCCGCCCGCTGGCCGGCTAGTGTGCTCCGCCCGGCTCGGTGGGGCTGGGCTGACTGGCGCGCGCTGGCGAGCCCGTCTCACTCCGTCAAGATGCGGCTGGTTGCGATGTCAGTTTTTTGTGGGCCGCCATCGATTGGGTGTGGTCAGAACTGTTCAGTCGGGCCGCTGGAAATGGTGTTTCGCATCAGTGCGACGTTTAGCCTGTACCAGCGCGTCCTGTTCCATCGGCTGGTTGGCTTCCGCAAGCCCGTGTCGTAACCTTTGTTAAACATTGCATCGCTCTTCTTCGAATTCTGAATCTCTTTGTCCTGCGAAGGCATGTGGCCGTGTAAACTCCGGTGAACAGTTTCGTTGTTTGTTCGCTGTGGATGATACCCAGTGACAGCTCAACAGGTGTTCTCGGTACGACATCGTCGGTCCCGCGCCGTGTGTGGCTGTACAGCTGGGCCGCGTGCGAGGTCGGCCGTCGCCCCTGACCCGTCCCGCTCGCGCCGGGCCGCCGCCAGATCCTGACCGAGCTGGAGCACAGCGGGCTGGCGCGCAACCGCGAGCAGTCGGCCCGCCTGCTCGGCCACCTGGTGTCGTCCTCGCCGCGGCTGACGCGGCCCTACCTGCGCCCCATCATGAAGGTGCTCTGCCAGCGGCTCAAGGAGAGCGAGCCCAACCCCGTGGTGGTCAGCAGCATCCTCTACGCCGTCGGCGATCTGGCCCACGTGAGTCGGCGCTGGGTACGGCTGCGACGCCGCCCGCCGCGCGCTCTGGTGTACGAGGTCTGTTGGACCGCCAGCGCTCTCCCGATTCCAGTTCACTAACGGTGTTAAGTGTGCGCGCGCACGCGCGGAGAGTCGCCTCAGCGCTGTATGCTCGGCTGTCGGAAGCCTG